CCCCCCCCCAAAGGGGTCTGGACCCACAGGTTGAGAACCGCTGCATAATGTGCTGGCGGGCAGCAAGAATCCAGACTTCTAGGCTATCATGTTGATTGGCCCTTTTTTGCTAGTCATTCCTGATCTCTCTTGGACAGTGAGCTCTTTCCCTTATATTTGGCTGCCCAATTAGTCCTGTCACAAGCTATTATTGGAGTTTCTCTTTTCATCCATCTTTCTAGGTCTTCTTCTAAACTCCAGGTGTTAGACAATAGGTGGGATGTCTACTCAAGTTGCCTTCAGAATGGAAACTGCTTGGCCCAGGGGGAGCGCAGTGAGGTCGTGGATGTGCAGATGCAACAACCCGAAAAGTGTGAGGCACGTGGTTTAATGGACCAGTCTTCTTTGCCGAAGCAAGATCCAGGTAATGGTTCATCTGTTCTGATGGAGAAAGCCATTTTACTGTGAATCGTAAGTAAAGATACCCTGCTTAGTCAACCTTCAGATGGTCAAGTCTGTCATGGATGCATCTGTAAAACTTAAGCCCGTTTTTCTAGAAATAATTTACGTGTTATTATTTTCACCTATTACATAAGTAAAGCCCACCGAGCCCACTGCCGTCAAGTTGATCTGACCCCTAGCGACCCCATGGAACCGAACAGAAGTGCTGCATAGGGTGGTTTCTGAGACTGAATCTCTGTCAAAGTAGACTGCCTCATCTTCTCCCACGGAGCAGCCGCTGGCTTCAAACTGCTTACTGTTCGGTTGCCTAAGACAAGAGTGATAGAGGCTGAGAGTTAAGTTTTAGGCCTGTCCATTATTGAAAAATGAGTCAAATACCCTAAGCAAGTTCTTCTTTTATGAATTAATGAATAATAAATTACTGTATATTTTATACCTTAAAATCACTTTTATTGAATCATGTGTTTTATGGCTTGTAAATCAAAAATTTAATCAGTAAAGAAAGTTTTAAATTAATCCTCAAAAGCACATTGTCACAAAGGTGCTGTTTGGCCCTGAGCTGTGCTATTTGGCCGTGCTCACTGGGTCACCGTAGGGACCTCCTGCATTCTTCTTGGCTGAGCTTGCTCCTAGTGGAATGCGGTTTGCTGAGATGTGTCAGGGACGGGCTCTTATTTTTAACTTGGTCATGATGTACGATGATTTGATACGTGAAAGAAATGTTATCATGGATGAAGAAACAAAAGTACAGTATCTCATTTTTTCACCTTTGTTTTTTTGGTTTTGTGGGTTGGGTGTGTGGTTGTTGCTTTGGGGTTTTTTTAATTGTTTTTTGTTTTCACAAAAATACTGTATAGTCATTGACAAAAATTTGGAGAATTTAGGTAATAAGGGGGGGACCATTTAGTTACCTATATTTTATCACTTAATGGTAAAATATTGATTTTTTTAAGTCATGTTATTTAAGATTGTATTTTAAAATACAGAATCATGATAAATCCTATTTCATAGCTATCTTTAATATATTGTGGGCACGTTTCCTTTTTATTACAAATCAGCAATTATGTTCAGATTCTCATGAGTACAGTATTCTATTGGAACAGATATTATTTTTCAGGATACATCTCTAAAACTAAAATTACTGACCGAAAGTATATATGCATGTTATGGCTTTTGCTACAGAGTGCCAAATTTCCCTTTAGAAAAGTTCAGCTATTTTCCCATAGAAATGCACTTCCCTAGAAAGTGTATTCTGGTAGCCATTTTCCTCTGAGACGAACTGAGCTGTCTTGTAAGTTCTCAGCAGAGTTGGACAGGCGTAATCCAGACCCACTGTCATTGATCACCTTCTCCCCGTGCCTCTCAGAGGGAAGCCCTGGCCTGGACTCCGGAGTCAGCCTTTTCTCTGGCGCCCCTGAAGCTAGAGCTCCAGATGCCGCTCACGGGGGCAGCAGACCACCTTCATCATCTGCACTGAACGTACCCCAACTTCAAGTCGCACAATTGACCAACGGTCCATCGGCTGCTCACACTACTACGAAGAGTGCTGCGAGGAACAACGTGCGGGAAGGAAGCGTGAGCACCGAGAAGCCAGGAACCCCAGAAGGGGCCGGCAAAAGAGTCTCCATGGTGGCCTCGGGCCTGACTCAAAAAGAACTTGTGAGTGTGTCTGTCTGTCTGTTCCTATTGGCTGAGACTGTTGAAGACCATACATAAGCAGGTACTGGTGATGGCTGTTCTAGATCTAGGAAGCAGGCACACTTCCATGTGGTTTACCATATATACTCGAGAATAAGCCGACCCGAATATCAGCCGAGGTGCCTAATTTTACCACAAAAACTGCATTAAAACTGTACTAAAAAACTTGGCTTATACACGAGAAAAGATGGTAATTCTTAGTATTAGTGCCTGAGAATCTGAACCTATGTTTACCTTACCACATGGATTCTTTCCTCTGTACTAGGGGCCTCAAAAAGTTTGTGGAAAAAAATGGAATTTCAAAATAAAGGAACTTTTCCGTGAACTTTCTGATGCCCTCTCGTAATTATTTAAGAAAAAATAATTAGATATTAACACACTCATTCTGAGTGTGCTGTGGAGCTTTTGAATTTACATTTTCTGTAGACCTAAAAAAAGCAAGTAGGTACGCCATCCTTCCCCCCTTTCACCCTGATGCCCATCGGATGCACAAATCCAGAATGGCTCCAGCGCACTGGAGTTTCTCCAGCATTTATTTGTCTCCTCCCTGGCTTGTGGCACAGTTATTCAAGAGCTTGCCTGATCATTGCTTCCTGCACCCTCTCCTGGAGCCGAGCCCTCATGCCAGAAATGGGAATTGTTTCACAATGTGGAAAAATACCCATTGGAATATGAAGACCACTGAGACCTTGTTCAGCTGTCCCGGAACATTTCCCTCCATCCCTTTATAATAACATTATTCAGCGCATGTCTCTTTAAAGCCATGGCAAGATAACACACCAGAGCATCAAATGGATTTCTGTAGTTGGTGACTTACGTAGTACACTGAGCAACAATGCTCACTCATTAGCTATCTTCCATAATGGATCCTTCCTGGGATAAGAGCCATTTCTCGGCCTAACTTCTTCTCCATAGTTAGTGACTCAGCACACCATTCTCCATGTGGCCAGCAGATGCAGCCCACTACTGAAATGGCAAAGTGAATGGCTTTTCCTGGTTGTTAACAATGACCAAATGCAAGATGGTAGCTACTAAAATTCCCGTCTCCCAACCACAGGCCAGGCTCGCTATTTGTTCTGAAGATTCAGATCTGTGTCTGCTTATGTTGCGCTTGAGGACTTGCCTACACGTCTAGTGTGGCTATGCGTTCACTGAAAATGAGCACTCATTTTTTGATCTGAGGGTTCAGCTTTTCAGAGAGGGCTAAAATTGTCTAACCTGTCTTGCCTGGGGCAATTCTGAGCTGCAGATTAGACTTTCGGTGGCTTGGGTACAGATTGTCTTTCAAACGGCAAAGAGGAAAACTTTTGAGCTCCATTCAGACTTGCTGAAGTGTGGTCAATTCAGGGTGAAAGCTGCTGACTGTGTTACACATGATTAATTTTAAAGCCCATACTAAGATGATCTTTTCAGCAGTTCCTCTTCTAACTGAACACTGTTTCAAGGCCGGGATTTCAGCAATTAATCAGTTCAGAATTGCTAATGATCCTGGCAGAGGGCAGTGGTAAGAGGGGGAGGGTGTCATTAGCTTCCCTCGCCTGCTGCTCCCCAAGCTCTGTGGCAGTACGGAGCGCAGCAGCATGAAAGAGAGGTGCCTGACCTCTGTTGCAGGATTGTGCAACGCATAAATATTGGTGTGGGTGGTAACGGCTGGTAAATGATGGCCCTCAGTAAACAAAGTTATTTACCCAACAGCAACTCCCGATTATGTCAATTGCACCCATAATGGAGCTGGCTAATTACTTTTACTGCCCTATTGATTTTTATTTGGTTGATAGATAGCGGCTAGACAGCTCTAGATTTTTTTTTTTTTTGAGAAGAATATGAGTCTCTTCCAGTCCTTTACCTTAAGGTGAGATGGGGAGTTTTTGCATTGACCTTTGGAAGCTTCTTGAGTGTTTTGCAGTTTTCAGAGGGTTAGATCTTGTGATGAAGCTACACACTACATGGGCTCGTTGCTCCTCAGCTTAGAAAGTGTAGGCTGATAAATCTAAATTTTAATATAATGGAGTATCACCATGCAAAGGAACTGCCTTTGGGAATCAAATGATGTCTGCTACTAAAGACAAAATTCATATTATTTTGCTTCCGTGTCTGTTAGTGTAAACTCTCAGTGTTTCTTCTGATTTGCCTACGATTTTTATTGAATTATTAATTTGAGTCTTAACCAATGTTAGAATAAAATGAATGCACATTTCCTGAGAAAAATAGACACTTGAAGCTAGAATAACGGGGGCAGGAGGTTAAAAAGCTAGAATAATGAGTTCTCTAAACTGTGTACTTAAAATAATTTATTTTAATGCAATATTCCTTTGATTTCAGATGCTTGTACACAAGTTTGCCAGAAAATACAACTGCACTTTAACTAATGAAATTACTGAAGAAACTACTCATGTTATAATGAAAACAGGTATGACAAAACTGTAACAAATATGTTGCCCAAGACTGCATGAGGATATGAGAATATCTGATAAGTGTCTTGGTAATCTAGTGCTGCTATAAAAAAATAAAAGAAGCGAAAAAATTAAATAAATAAATAAAAGAAGCCGCAAGTGGGTGGCTCTCGCAAACAAATGGACGTTCTCGCCCTTTAGGAAGCGAGAAGTCAGCATGCAGGGTGACGGCTTCCTCTTTCAGATCTGGAGGAGGCCCTGAGCTCTGAGCTGCTCTTCCTGGATGGCCTGCATGAGGCTCCACATACCTCTTCTCCCATTTCTGCTTGCTTAATCAGTTGTTTTTCTATCTAATAAGAGATTGATTCAAGACACACCCTGCACTTAAAACAAAGACAACCAATTCCCAAATGGGATTATAGCCACAGGCACAGAGGTTTGGATTTGCAGTACATTTGAGGGGCCACAATGCAGTCCATAACATTGAGCATAGCATGGAAGCTCGTTTCCCAATCGTCAGTCAATGATTGGTTTATGGAAAAAGCGTTGTAATTTTGCTACTTCCTGACCTCTTTTTGTTTTGGGTTAATATTTGGAAGGTGATAAGCCAGAATGATGAGATATGACTTCCGCATTACTTCCCTGGGTGAAGGGATTGGTGGTCAGACAGAACCTAGGTCCTGGAGGAACAAGAGCCGTGGAGCGAAGAGGGGAACAGGGAAGAATGCGACCTTCACTCAGAATGTAGCCCCATGTAACACCTAGTTTGAGTGTGGTTGAGAATTTTCAGGAAACAGGCCTAGTGTTCATTCTGAGATAGCCTAACGGGTCTCCATTAGGAGTTGTGTAGTAAAGGAAACTTCTGGGCTTTTTCAGCTGACTATCAGTGAAGTCTGAGTAAACCATCAGGGCTGCTTTAAAGGGGGTAAAAGCCTCTGTCCTTGAGATGGGCACAATCATGGATCTTTCTGGGTGGTGGGCTAGGTAGCTGGCTCAGATTTCCTGGCATAGGTAAGCATGTCAGTATTCATCCATTCGTTGAAACATCCTAATTGACATTCCGTCAGTTCCTGGGGGCTTTTCTGTAATTTCTTCAATGAAGCTTAGACTTGTTCCTTTTATACCTTACTTGATCACATGCTATATCCTGAAATAGTTTCTTATCAACCCGTTCTTTTTGATACAGTGATCCTGTGTTCCTTTCATCATCTTTTGATGCTTCCTGCATCATTCAATATTTTATTCTTAGAATTCTTTCATATTGCAACTCGAGGCTTGAATTTTTTTCTTCAACCCTTTCAGCTTGATAAATGCTGAACATCTCATATTTTGGTTTTCTGACTTCCGTTTTCTTATACTACCATACTTTGTCTTCTCAAGCCATATTTGTACCCATTCCAAAGAAAGGTAATAAAACAATATGTAAATTATTGAACAAATCACTAATAAAACACTCAGGTAAAAATTTTCAAGATAATTAAACATGGCTGCATTGACAGGAAACTGCCTAAAATTCCATTCGGAGTCAGAAGGGCATGTGGACAAGTTGGAAGACGAGCCAGCAACGGCTCGCATTCAAGATCTCTGCCTCGAGAGGTAGAGGCTGAGCCCAGAGGCACCAATGACCGGGGCAAGGGAGCCATGGAACAGCAGAGGAGCAGTGCTGAGGCCATGAGACTGTGAGGCAGAGCAGTGGGTGAGCTTCTGACCCATGGAGGCCGAGGCCAAGTGACCATGTGGCCAACAGGCTGAGGACCAGCGGGAGAGAGCGTGGGCTGCTGACTGATGAGTAGTATTGTTGTGGACCAATGAGTATATCCTTAATGCTTTCAGATCTGGTTTGTGGCAGCCTCTTAACTTCTCCCGTCACCCGCCCTACTTGTGCGTGTTGCCTGTGAGTTCTGTGTGACCACTGCAGGAATGGAAGAACTGGGAAGAAAAGTAGAGCGTGGCGGGAAGAGTGATTGGTGTCATAACAGGGTAAAGAAAGATGGAGGGCACCGCTTTGCCACATCTACTGCGAGAATAAAAGCCATTCTCGGCAACCAGGCTGTCGACTGTCCAGGAAATGTGGACATTTCCCTGAAGGGGCGCACAGTTATTGTGAAGGGCCCCAGGGAGCCCTGTGGAGTGAATCCAATCACATCAACACAGGACTCAGTCTGCTTGGACAGAAGAAGAGGCTTCGCGTTGACAAGTGGTGGGGAAAGAAAGGACTGGGCGGCATGCAGTCTGCTCTCTCTGTAGTCACGTACAGAACATGACGAAGGTGTGACGCTGGGCTTCCAATACGAGATGAGTTCTGTGTGTGCCCGCGTCCCCATCAAGGTGTCGATGCAGGAGAGCGCGTCTCTCGTTGACATCTGTAACTTCTTGGGTGAAGAATACGTCTGGAGGGTTCCCGTGAGGACAGGTGTTACATTTCCATTTCTCAAGCCCAGAAAGATGAGTGAATTTTTGAGGGAAGCTACATGGACCTTGTATGAAATTCAGCAAGCCATGACAGTTCAGAACAAGGATATCCGAGAATTGTGGGTGTCATCTCTGTTTCTGACAAAGGAACCGTGCAGCAGGCTGATGAGTAAGCTGTACGAGGGGTCCACCTACAGTCTAGATGGCTCCTGTAGACTTGTCTGTGATGCAATAACGTCAGTCTAATGAAAAAAAGGTGAAAAGAGAGAAAGATGGAGAGTGTAGGCATGTCTGACCTGTGCTGTGTGGCAGTCTGCCTTCAGCTAGTATGGAGATGGACTCTCCTCCTCCCTTGTGTCCCCAGAGGAGGTCAGAAGATGTGGCCTCTCTGCCGTCTTCAGAGTGCCAGAAAGATGTTTTACTGGCTCAGCATATTCAACTGTGCGGATCATAACAAGTGATAGATAACATTAGGAAGGATGAGAAATCCAGAACCCTTAATTGTGCTCGTTCAGGAAAACCTGTACATAGACCAAGAGGCAGTGTGGGAACAGAGCAAACGGATACTGCATGGTTTAAAAATGTGTGTCTCAGGGTTGCATCCTTCCATCTTAACGCTGAACAGATACTCTGTGGAGCTGGATCGTAGGAAGGAGAACCTAGCATCGGGATAGGAGGAAGATTCATTCACCATCCAAAATGTGCAAGACAAACGGAACCAATCCCAATGATCTACATGTGGCCCCCTCCCTGGGGGAGGGATGGCAGAAGGGTGGGTGAAAGGAGACGTTAGATAGTGTAGGACATGAAAAAATAATTTATAAATTATCAAGCATTCATGAGGGTGGGAGGATGGGGGAGGGAGGGTATAAAAAAGAGGAGCTGATACCAGGGGCTCAAGTAGAAAGAAAATATTTTGAGAATGATGATGGCAGCAGGTGTGCACATGTGCTTGACACAGTGGATGGATGGATGGATCGTGACGAGAGTTGTAGAGCCCCCAAAATTAAACTCTGCAGGTTTGTAACCGCCCTTGCCTAAAGGAGGACTCTGGGCCCTTGATGGTGACCATCAGAGCCTACAGCCATCGGCACAGGTTACAGGTCAGCACAAAGAGCAGGAGCTCCTGCAGTGGGGCCATTATGCAGCATCATGATAAACACAGAGAAGATTGCATTTGGCAAGGATATCACAATCCACACTCGTGGAAGAAACAGCCAAGGAGTCAGAGGATGCACTCTGATTTCTTAAACGTCTTCGAAAGCAAAGGTGTCGCCTTGATGACGCAGGTGTGGCTGAGCCATGCTAGAGTACGTTCAGTCATCTCACGACTAAGGAAGACCACGGAAGAACTGGTGCCTCGAATCATGATGTTGGCAACGAGTGTTAGCTATACCATGGACTGCCTGAAGAATAAACCAGTGTGCTTTGTTGGAAGCCCTGCCAGAATACTCCGTAGCAGCAAGGATGGTAAGACTTGTCTCGTGGTATCAGGAGGGACCAGTCCCTGGAAAAGGACATTATGTTTGATAAAGTAGAGGGTCAGCAACGAGAAGACCTCCAGTGCAGTGCTGTGACGGTGAGCCGTGAGGGCGGGGCTGCGAGGCGGGCGGGGTTTGGTTGGGTTGTGTACAGCATCTCTGAGTTGGAGCCAACCTGATGACACCTGACAAGAACCAGAAATGTTCATTAAAACTGGGCCACACCACTATAAGCCGAATGCTGTGCCAGTGAAGACAAGACCTTGCCCCGCTGTGTTCTCTGCAGGGTCACTGCCTGGGAGAGGCCCGTCCGAGTCCCGTGCTTTCTGGTCCCCAAGATCCCAGACGCAGCGGTTGCTCTCAGTCAAGATGGCAGTGCATTCTGGTTTTGACAAACTGGGAAGTATTCATCCAGAGGTAGAAGTTGAGGAATAGAGATTAGAACATCAGTGGAGAATGATGTTATTTCAAATACAGAGAACTAAGAAGACTTTAGGGAGCAAGGTAACCATCTTCAAATAGCAGAACAACTGTTACCTGGAAGGGGAGTTAGTCTCACTTATGGGGCTCCGGAAGCTGAGCAAAGCCCAGTGCATTGGGGGATGGGAAGGAAGTGGTGTGCAGATTGAGGCTCAGTTCTGAAAGCCTTTCGAACAAATGGGCCCTCCGGAAATGCAGTGGTTGGTCCACTCCTGCATGCTCCTCCGGCCACAGGTGCTCGAGCAGTAGGTCCGGACTTCTTGGCAGGAACACGTTGCTGTAGAACCTTTAAGATCTTGGGTTTCTCCTGTATGAAAATTATACCTGCTGGTCAAGGACAATGTGCTCTCTGGAAGCAGATAGCAGAACAAGGGTCCACAAACTGACTACTGCTTTAGAGATGAATGTCATTAGAGTTTAATATATCTGAAGCTATGGGTTTGGATCAAAGCAGGTGAAAGGGAAAAAGAAAACTTTAAATGCAGATTGAACCTGAAGCAGTTCGGTCTTTAAACTCAAAGACCAGACTAACATTTGCTTGTTTGAAATAAAAATGAGCTGAAATTTTTGAGTTTAGAGTATATTATTAAGTTGGCTTTTGACACCCTTAAATAAAAAGCTTTAAGAATTATAATGTGAAGATTTCTGTGAGGGAGAATAGTTGCCGCTACTACTGGCAGATGGCCTGCTGTGTTTAGGATTTAGTTAAATACATTTCTCCTGTTTAAAACTAAATGTTCTTTCCACAGTTTGCTCAGTTCTTCAAAGAAACCTTTGAAACCCTAGGAAATAAACAGAAGTGATTCCTTAGCTACTGCTTTCTGAAAATACTTATGTGGAAATGAAAAGTACCCTATTTTCCCATCCCTCTCACAGGAATATTAGGGAGTAAGGGTGCCCCAGGCAGAAACCCTGGTGAACATTTGTCACATTAACTTTTAGGATTTCAATAGTATTTTTCCCCCAACGGTTTTATTGGCATGTAAGTCATGTATCTTACAATTCAGTAGTTCAATCAACAGTATTTTATTTTATTTCTCTTCTTTCACATGTTACACTCACTGCCAGCCAGTCAATTCTGACTCATGGTGACCTTGTAGTCACGTGGTACCCCCCATTAAGAAATATCTGTCATTAAAGAAAGCTCTGTCAGTGCTTTTCATATCAGCACGGCTGACATGGGCAGTGCTTGGAACACACGACAGCTCTTTAGCTGGGCATCTGGACGCGAGGGCAGACGTTTCCTCGGACCCTCAGCTTCTACCTGCTGTCCAGAACTGGGGTGTTTCATCAACAGCCTGCGACGCTGTGAACCGAGACTGTTGGAATCATACATCCAAATTGATAGCGCACTTCCTGATTTTGTGTATATTTGTTCACTTCATAGACGCCGAGTTTGTGTGTGAACGGACACTGAAATATTTTCTGGGAATTGCAGGCGGAAAATGGGTGGTTAGCTATCTCTGTAAGTACAATGTAATTTCTCCCCTCCTCCCTCTAACACTTCAGAATTGCATTTTACACCTAACATTTTAACACCTAAGGTTTTTGCTGCTGCTGAGTCTGAATTACCAAAAGGCCTTTAATGGTAACACTAAACTGCCTTTATCTGTAATGCAGATCTCTTTGTTTGATAAGCTAGAGTTGTTGGGGAAAATGGATTTCTTTTCAAAACTAATAGGCTAATCTGCTCCTAGCAATGCTAGCATATGAAGGAGAGACTTCTATAATAGTGGACAGAAATCCATGTGCAGCAGCAATTTCAAAATGTTTAAATTAAGCATCAACCCTATCTCCGTAAAGAAATCCCAGCCACAGCCCTAATGAGGCGCCGATGTTCTCAGGTGAGTCACTGAACCATTCCTCTTGAAGAAGAGAGCCTGGGACGTCCCTCTGCTCCGTGCGACCGCCTTTCCTGTGCTCTCTCCTAGGGGTGACGCAGTCCATGAAGGGAAGAAAGAGGCTGCACGAGGTAGGCTCTTGATTGGCGCGGCGGAGTCAGGTGGAGCCGAGGAAACCTGGCGGTGCTTCCTTCCCTCGGTGCTGAGCATCACCGAGTTATTGTGTGCTCACGCTTTTGTTCTAGGTTTCTAAAGAAGCCATCCTTTCCTCAGGGGAAAGAAAGGGAATTTATAAAGCAGGGGGGAGAGCGATTCATGGGGACCAAGAAGCCGTCCCACCTGAACCTTACACACAAATATCTTTGGAAAACTGGTTGCTCACTGTTGTTGAAGAATCCTTTGTATTAATATGCAAATGCGCATATTTAGAAATCAGGTTTCCTCAAAGAGAGGTAGCCCTTGATACTGAGAACAGCAGAGGTGAGTAAGACCGAGTGTAGGAGGAGGCATGATTTCAGAGCAGAGCCGTCTAGGAGCTGCTGGTGAGAGCACATCAGGCAAAATTAAATTAGCGAAGCAGTTCCAAACTATTTTGTACTCTTTAGCATGTTTATAATGAAATGCATTTCTGCTGGTTTTACTCTTCGGTGGTTATTTCCTGGGAACCTACTCCACGCCAGAGGTGTCTTGTGTAGTAGGCTACGTATTGAACTGCTAACCACAAGGTTGTGGGTTTGAACCCACAAGTTGCTCCACAGGAGAAAGATGAGGCTGTCTACGCCTGTAAACGCGTAACGTCTCAGAAGCCCACCGGAGCAGTTCCGCTCTGTCCTATAAGGTCACTGAGTTGGGATCAACTCGGTTTCAGTGAGTTTGGGTCTTCGTTGTGTTTACTTTCGATAGAGCAGTAAACAGGACCGATCAGGTGTCTGCTCTGCTGCAGACTCACGTGTAATGAAGGGAAACATACAGGAAATAAAGTTGACTTTAAGATACCATTATTCACCCAAAGCACAGTAAAATGTTCGCAGGCACCCAAACTGAAGAAATGGAACAGTTAGCTAGCAGGTGCCTGGGGATAAACTCCATATCCAGTGCCATCAAGTCGAGTCTGGCCCCTGTCAGCCTTTGTAGGTCGGAGTAGAGCTGCCTCTTCTGGGTCTCCGGGGCTAAGGTCTTTCCGGGCAGAACAGCCCCCGTTTCTCCCACAGAGCTGGTGGTGCTTTCAAACTGCAGCTCAGCCCTAACCCACTGTGCCACCAGGGGCATAGCAATTGGCTGTTTTTGTAAGGAGGCCAGTGAAGACCTTTCTGAAGTGAATGAGCTAAGACCTAAAAGATGAGATAGAATCCAGGGGGAAGAATATAGGAAACACCAAGCATAAAGTTCTCGGGGTAAAAATGAACTTGGTTTATTTTAAAAAGAAAGAAATGTGGGCCAGCGTAAATCAAAAACCAAGCTCACGGCCATGAAGTCCCTTCTGCTTCCTGGTGGCCCTCCCTGCCGGCCGGGGCAGGACTGCCCCGGGAGCCTCTGAGACCTCAGTCTTCACAGAGCAGGCGGCCTCGACCTTTCTCCTGCCTCCCTTTTCCTCTGTGCAATGGCCGGTGGTTTTGAACTGCTGGCCTTGTGGTTAGCAGTCCAGTGCATTCCCCAGCACTCTGGTTCCCTGGTGTAACAGGAGAGCAGTCATCAGGGAAGTTTGTGTAGCGAGTGGGCGTTAGGCAAGGGGTAGAAGGTCAGAGGCAAGGGCCAGGTCTGATGGGCTGGAAAACCTCTGTAAGGATTTGGGTCTTTGAGCAATTGGGGACATGCAGGTAGTAGAAGAGGTTGGCCTGGGTTGTATTTGGAGATAGGATTTGTTCATGGATTACATTTGAAGGATGAAGTTAAAGATGGAATTAAAGGCAACACTTAGGGTTTGGACATGAGTGTCAGAGTGTGTGCTCGTCATTTAAGATTAAATAGTGGAGACACAGGAGAGGAACGAGCATGTTGGGAAAGGGGTGAGGTAGTAGAATAAAGATCTGTTTCAACCCGCGGGACTGTATCCCACCCACCTCCCCCCCCCCAAAAAAAAAAAAGAACAAGATCTGTTTCAGACTTTGGAGATTTAGACTAGACATCCAGGTGGAGAGGTCCAGTGGGCTATTGGACACATAGGGTGAAATCCAAAGGTCTCAAGGGTGCCATCAAGACGGTGAATTTGGGAGCCCTGTTCAGGTCGATGGCATTTCACTAGTCCTCAGAAGCTTACCCAACACCCGCCATAGCTCCGAACACACCTGGCTTCGTGATGCTCTTGGCAGCAGTGGGGTCTCCCCTCCACTTGCGCTCCCTTCTGAAGTGTTCCGAAGCATCCTTCTCCAGGCTTCCTCCAAACTCAAGCCTTCCCAATCCCTTCTTTTTTCTTTTTTTTTACTACCTCACCTTTGACTGTAATTAGCGATTATGAAAAACCTATAAGTACCCTCTTTCAGTGTGTTAAATGTCTATTTCTGTCACTGTGGTCTCTTTACTGTATCACTCTTCTCCCCTGAAATCTGAGAAGTGCTTCTTTCTTTAGATTTAATACACAACTGGTTTAAGACAGTATTAGCAGTTTCGTCTAAATGCTAAGTGAATGTTTTGAGAGGAGATAGATGTTGAAAATTAAAGCCCCCCCCCCAAAAAAAAAAAAAAGATTAAAGTACATTTAGTCCTCATGAGGTGAAAAGCCGATTGTTAATTTCTGCCCACAAAGATTTGCTTCAGTGAACTGATTTCAGGAGCCACGATGCTGGGCAATTCAATTCTCCCATTAAGAGTGGTGTTTTTTGTTTTGGGGCTAGTGAAATTGAACCCCTGAAATATGACATGTCTGCCCCACGTCTGCCTTCTTTTTCTCTGACTTACGGTTTGGGGGGTTGGTTTTTTTTTTTTTTACAGTCTGATTTTGAAGTCAGAGGAGATGTTGTTAACGGAAGAAACCACCAAGGTCCAAAGCGAGCAAGAGAATTCCACGACAGAAAGGTAAAAGGCCCCATGTTTTCAATGGCAAAAGATCCAGCCACCCCACCCCCATCCCAGTGTTCTCCAGACCCCTTAGGAGGTGATCGCCTTCGTCTTGTAAGGCTCCTCCTCTCCTTGCTGGAGCACTGGATAGGTGGTGAAGAGGCTGCATAATGGGGAGTTCAGTCTGGGCTTCCAGTCTCAGCTAGAAAGTGACAGAACTGAAATCTGAATCAAATTTTAATCCAGAACCTTGCTCTCTCCCGTTCACCATCGGGTCTTTCTCTCAAGCCAGCAGTGTGCTAACCTCACGGTGCTGTCTGCGCAGCCAGAGAGGGGAGAGGTGTTACTGAGAACCAAGGCGCACATACGTGGGTGGGGCAGCAAGGCTGCCCTCAGCCCGCAACCATTTCCTAGCTAATTAACAAGTTTACACCAGTCTTGTGAGGTGGGTACTGGTATTGTGGCAATTTTACAGAGAGGGAAGTTGAGGCTCCGAGAGGCTGATTAAGTCACTACCGGTCACATTGCTTTTGAGGGATGGAACTAGCGGTTAAACCCGGGTAGTCGGTGCCATCAAGCTCTCTCTTAAGAGCACCACGGCCGTTTTGGAAAGTTGCTGAAGGCCCCGCAGAGATGGACAATAGCATGTTCTTCTTCCAGCCTTGCAAGGGAAGGGCTCGAGGCCCTGGGACACTCAGTGACTTTCCCCAGGTCACCTGTAGCAGGTGACAAAGCAAGGCAGTGTCTTCTCAGACAGAAGTCGGGCAGAAACACACCTGCCTGTGAAGCCCGAGCAGACTGCTTCTGGGTCACCCAGGGCTGGATGGTCCCAGTCTATGCATCTTCTTTTCAGTCCACCACTGGGCGCGCCAGAACACCCCCGTATGGCGCACCTTCCGCTGCCTGAACAGACGCTTGAGAGAAACCAGTGAGATGATTTCTGAGGAAAGCTGCTTTGATAAATGATCACACATAAGTCTGGAGGTCAGCCCCTCGCCCTCTGAGCCTCTCAAGTACCTTCCAGGTGCCCAGCACAGCCGCAGACCTACTTCTGCTTCTGCCTCCCCAGGGAGCTCCGCGGGACCCTGCCGCACGGAGGGCGGGCAGAGTGAGCGGCAGCTTCCTTCCTCCTCGGGGAAGGCCCGGTGCCGTGGGGTCTGCCCTGCCTTCTGGACGGCAGTGATGCAAAGCGCCTGGTCAAAGTAATGACCTTCTGAAGGTGCTAAGTGATCACCGCCGGATTTTCCTATGGACAAGAAACGTGTCTTCACGTGTCTTATCGCATAACTAGACACCCTCCTCAGTGGGTGCCAGCTTCCTGCCCTTCGGTACTTGTCCGAGCAGCACTGGGCTCCAACGAGCTGCCGCTGCAGAAGCCCAAGCATCACGAGCAGCTGTCCTGTCGGCAGTTAGAAAGCGCGGGAAGAGAGTCAAGAGAATAAGGGTTCAATAAGATGATCCAGGAAAGGGTGGGCTGACAGGCTCGTTGCCATGGAGCCGATGCTCGTTCATAGCAACCGCCTAGGACAGGATCGACTAGCCCTGTGAGTTTCCAAGACTAACTCTTCAAGGGAGTTGACAGCCACATCTCTCTCCCTTGGAGTAGCTGGTGGTTTGGAACTACTGACTTTGAGGTTAGCGGCCCAACCTGGAACCACTACTCCACCAGGGCTCCTGGTGAAAGGGTAAATTACATAAATCCACCCAACTGACCCAAATTCAGATGAAAGAAAAGAAGACTGTGCATTTCTCAGTCACCCTCGCCGCATTGCACACTCAGTAGCACACTCAGTAGCCACACGTGGCGCATGACTGCTCTGTTAGAGCACGTGTGGGAAGCTCCACAGAGTGTGGGGAAATTCCATTATCTTTTGACTCCGTTTCTGTTTTCCCACGAGCTTTCTGAAGGCTTTTCCCTGTGTTCCATCATCACAGAAAATTCTGGGCAGCGCCATCAAACTGAAAACTAGGCAGTTAAACCAGCTCACCGAGAGGCTGAGCCAGGCTTCTTTTGTATTTATAAAACTGCTCGGGTCTCCTGATGGAGCAAAGTACATTTTTGGAGCAGCATGAAGGAAGGAACGTGTCGGGGGCCCAGAAGAAAGGGAAAAAGGAGTATGTTGGCATCAAATAAGCCTCACCACCTCTGCTGATGTTCAATCAATCTGGGCCGACATCACCCTACAGTCAATTGCCGCCCTAACCTTAGATTTAGCAAGAAGAAAGAAGAAACTCACTCCCCCTCTCATCTCCAGCAAGAGGTGAAATCGCCTGCCTGGGTCACCAGGAAGGAGCTAGGGCCTGATGAGTGACGAGATGGTGCTCAGCCCTCCAATGACCGTATAGTGTCGATCAACTGCATGCACGAGTCAGAAACATCTCCAGGCCTTCTGTGTTCTGATTATCTTGGAAGTAGCAGCAAAAGTTGTCAGGTGGATAAGAAAAGGTCTTCCTTGTTGAGGGCCTCTGTATATTGTTTAAAATCCCATTCACTTTTATCACTAACAGTCCTTTCTCTGCCCCCTCCCCCGCCCCCCGTTGTCTTTCTTTCCTCTTCCAGATCTTCGAGGGCCTAGAAGTCTGTTGTTATGGGCCCTTTATCAACATGCCTACAGGTAAGAGACCCAGCACCAGAGGAGGATTATGGAAGAGATTGCCTTGCCTTGCTTGTGGTCTTATGAGGCTCCCTCACATTGGTGAGATGCTCTAGGGAGGTTATTCTGTTTCTCTACCACCCGCAAGGCAAAGCACCTTAACTGTTATCCCATGGCAAAGGGGATCCGTGCAGGCGGACTCGGGCCAGCAACAGAGAGTTAGGTTCGAAGACACGGTCTGTTCTTGGTTCGGATGTCAGATGGATTCTGGGATCTGGGGGCCCCCGCAGACAACAGAAGGAAACACGAGCCGGTCCTGCGCCGTCTGAGCCATTGTTGTAGCCACTGTGTCCATCCACCCTGTCAAGTCTTCTGTCTGAGCCCCTCCCCTTTCCCAAGCATAGGTCCTCCTCCAAGGACTGGTCTGTCCAGAGAGTGTGTCCAAAGTACGGGAGACCACGTCTCGCCATCCGTGCCTCTGAGGAGCACTTCCTCCAACACAGATCGGTCTGTTCTTGCTCTCTGCCAGCACCACCTGGGCTAGCATACCGATCCTGCCATTGAGTCTGAAGACAGGGAGACACGATCCATCAGGGAGAAGATCCCTTTGGTCTTTAGATGTCAAGAAGGAGTTCGGCTCGTCCTGAGCCATCTTTATTTGTAACAGAAGAAAGCAGAGCTGCTACGGAAGCCTTGTGGGCCTGGGGCCCACACACAGGCCCAGAACAGGGCAAGACTGGATGGGCATTTTCAAATTACATTTGACCCTGAATTAAGTGCTATGTTTAGGGCTGCTCTGGGGCTCCGCTCTGGAGCTGTGCTGCCACTCCGAGGCCCTGGTGTGTCCATAGGTGAGCTTCCTTCTTTTCAAAACAAAGGCTCCCCACCTTTGCCTCCTGTGCCCTCACTTCCACCCCCTTCGCCAAAGGCCTCCATGGTCTGCTCAGGGGCAGCTGAGCGGCAGCAAGAGAGTTGGGCAAAATAATTTTGCTTTCTCTCTTCTTTATTGGTTATTGATTAGATTTTTATGAAATTTCCAAGTGCCCCTCATGTGTGTTCTAGTACTTTGGTCCAATGAAAACCAGTCTTTGAAGTCAGGATCCTTTTCCGTGAGAGTCAGCTGACTTCACCCACTCACTAGGACAAGCCAGGCGGAAGCACCTCAGCCTATGGAGAAGGCCAGCATGCATAGGTCACTGCTGTGCACCCAGAGGTGCCCGGTTCTGATGCCATCCTAGCAGCAAGCAAAGCACTTCTCCACTCTTCGGACTTACTTTCCCCACCCAACCCCTAGTGACTTGGTTCTAGCTTAGCATGTAGCCTTTCCCCATCAGTGTGCTGAGTCTCCAGGAAGATGTTTGTTTATTTTTTGAGCCAATGAATTATCTCCTTGTCTCCTGACATTGACAGTCATTACCACCACGACTGGCTCTCGGGGCCCCTGGTTATCAGTTAACAACACAGTTGCAGGGGTGGGCTAGAGGGTGCTTTTGCTTCACCCCACAGTGTCTTAGCCAGCAATTTAGCAAATGAATGAAAATTCTAGAACTTGGATTTTTTTCCTTTCAAAGTGTTTTATTTGAGATATTATCAAGTCTGACCCACCAGCAGGCCTTACAGGGGACAGATAACCAGAGTAGATGACCTTTCTGTGGCAAATGGACGTTGAATCCACACTCCTAGTGTGGATTCTACTTTAATGCTCTCTGTGTTTGGGTCAAAAGAGATGGGGATTCTGCCACTGCGAAATCTGGCTGTAGCATTTATTCGTGGTAGAATGGGGTAGAGGGTCCAGGCGAAGTGTGTCGATTCCTGTGTAACTGCGTCTAAATGCCCTATTTAGATCAACTGGAGTGGATGGTGCGGCTGTGTGGGGCCTCTGTGGTGAAGGCACTCTCATCTTTCACCCTTGGCACGGTGAGTGGGGCCCTGTGCAAGGGGAAGGGCACAATGTTCTACCCTGGGATTGAACAGAGCAGGCACCTGGCAGTCCCCGTGGACACCACCACCACCACTACCATCAAGGCAGGCTCAGAGGTCTCCTTGACTCTGAGCTTCTCTGACCGTATACCTGGGCCGGAAGACTCACAGCTGTGAGTGATGGCCAGCTTTCATTTACTGAGGGAGGGCTCTTTCTGCCTCATCCTTCCCTCCGTTGTGTCTGCCCCCAGAGTAGTCTGCTTCAACAAACCCTCCAGACTTGTTGACATCCCAGAGTCTACAAGAGAACTTGAGCTCAGAGAAGAACGTCAGCAGAGTTGCCTGGCACAGCTCAACAAACAAGGACCACTGGATTTCTATGTCCCCGCAGCGAGAGCACAAAGGGAAATCAGGAAACGCGTTCTGTTTGCAGTCGCCCCTAAGAGAAGGAAGTCCCAAGGACTCCATCAAAGCCGGGACGTGGAGGACAGGCACCGTGAAAACGGTGCGGCACTGCCGACAGACACTCAAGGGGAAGATGGCCCATGTTCACGGACTGTGAAGATGCCAGTACTACCGCGGGTCTGTACGTTCAACACGTTCCTGATCAAAATTCTAGCAGCCGCCTTTACAGAACTAGGAAAACCAATCCTCAACTTTCTGTGGGATGGTAAGAGGCCTCAAATAGCTAAAACAATGGTGAAGAAGAAGAGCAAAGTGGGAAGACTCACCCGTCCTGATGTTAAAAGATCCTGTCTAGCTATAGTAATTACAGCATCCAGAACTAGTGTCTTAACAGACGTATAGCTCAATGTCTAGAAATTACTCCACATATTTCTAGTCAACTGGTTTTAAAACTTGGGCAACAAAAAGGCAAACAACCCAATCATTACGTGACCAAAGGGTTTGAGTAGCATCTGGAGGGTATGCAGATGACCACAAACACATGACACGGTGCACGGTCATTAACTATCAGAGATGCCAAACAAAGTCATAATGAGATGTCATTTCTACTAGGATAGCTAAGATTTTTTACAACCCAGAAAGTAACTTGTTGGCAAGGATATTGGGAAATTTGAACCCCTATGGTTGCTGGGGGAGCCCTAGTAGCATTGTTGGGTAAGTGTTGGGCTGCTAACTGCAAGGTTGGCAGTTCAAGCCCGCCAGCCACTCCATGGGAGAAAGATGAGGCTATCTGCTCCTGTAACGATTGCAGCCTCAAACCTTTGGGTCCCTATGAGTCAGAATTGACTCCGTGGCACTGGTTTTGATCCATACGGATGGAAATGCAAGATGGCACAGCCCTTGTGGAAAACGTGTGGCTGTTCTTCTGTCAACTAAAACAGAACTACCGTCACAGAAGGTGTGGGTGCTCTCGTGAAGCATAGTGAAGGGGCGTGTGCAGCTGTCAGGTTAGTGTCTCGCCAACAGCAACATAGACTGTGGTTCTCAGTTGAGATATTTGTTCAGTTTATCTGGGTCAGAATTTTGGATTCAGAAGTGGTAAAGATTTTTTAAACCAAAATTTAAGAATATAGAAATATTCTGCTAGGTTAAAAGAAGGGTAACATCTTAAAGAGTTGTTCTAAAACGAGTGACCATCTCAGGAATCTGTACAGGAGAAAGCACACCAACGTGTGATCAAAGGGTTTCAATAAAATTCATGATCAGAAGGGATGCTACAATTTAAATTCTGAGCGCTTCTATAAACAGAAGACTATGATTGACAGTGAAATCCCCTAAATCCATTTGAGTCTAAATTCAGCCTAAATAAGCTGTGACCATTGGAATGGTCATCCTCTGGCAGAGTGTGTTTGAAAGTGGATTACTACGACTCCTTGGGCAACCCACGGGAGGATCATCTTGCCCTCAGGGACTTGCCTGTGCTTGCTTTCCAGAGGAATTGGGGTCCCAGGGTTCCATGGTCATGACTCCTACCTCAACCCGAGTGGTCAGAGGGCACCAGAACCAGTCCTGCGAGCTTTTCTGATCTGCAGTAGTCAGCGGATCCCAGTCCTGGCCCCTTTGCTGCTGCGGTGGCCGCACCTGCCACTGCGATGAACTGATCAGTCTCTTTTATCTCCCACCCTCGCTCATCTCTGTTCCCAGCCGTGGTGCTGTGAGCCTTTTCCACACCATGACAGCCTCGTGCCAACCCTCGGTCATCCATGTGATTTGTCTTTGTTCTCAGACTCGATGATCTCTTGGAGAGCAGGGCAAACCGCAGGACTTCCCTGTGGTCCAACAAAGACTTGGAAGCAGACCCGCAGAAGGAGACACGTTTCCCAATGGTCACTGCAGCCCTCTTTGAAATATGTGAAAACCGTCTCCATGCCTGTCAACAGATGAGTGGATAAGCAAACTGGTACCTGCACAACGGAGCACTCCTCATCCAGTAGGAGAAGGAAGTCTTGATCCATGCATGCTGCAGTATGGACCTTAGGTTGAGCAAAATAAGCCAGCCACAAAAGGACAAATAGTGTATGGCCTCGCTTAGATGTATAGAGAACAAAATGTATTATGGTTACTGGGCGGGAGTGCGCAGTGGTGAAGAATCAGCATTGATTCGGGGCAGGGCTGAACAGCTGGTGACAGTGATTGCTGTCGATAAGTTGTTTACCTATAAGGTGTGTGGTAGATACAGCTACAGCGACGATTTTAAATATCCTAAGGCAACTTAAGTACAACCAAGCACCCCATGAGCTTGGGTTTCAGGGCTTAGGGTCATGATTTCATGGGGCATCCCAGTTATTCAACCTAATAACATGTTCCGTGCTTCTGTTCTACCTCTCGTGTAATATCTGGGCTCTTACACACTTGGGAAAAGCAGGAAGATGCTTGATGGGATGGGTTGACCCAGTGGCTGCACCAGGGGGTGAAACACCCAGTGATTGTGAGGGTGCCATGGGACCGGCAGCACTCCATTCTGTTTGGCCACGGGGTCACCATGAGTTGGAACCAACTTGATGGCACTTGACAACGACAAGGTGCCGATTCAGACACCAGAGCTGGCCTCTCGTCACCTGCAGCAGCAGAGGAAGGGCAGTCGGGAACCCAAATGAACCCTTCCATTCACTCCGTGCCTGGTAAGACAATGGACCCTAACTGCCCCTTCAGTTCTCCACGGTGTGGATCCGAACAGCATCGGAAGGTGTCTCATTTCTCCAGCATGGCTTTGAGTGCTCCCTACAGTTAGCAGCCCGGTGCATAGCCCAGTGCATCACCAGGTCTCCTTGGAGAGTCCGAAAGAGGAGGAGGAGGAGGTGGAATGTGTGAGTAAATGCCTCCTTTGCCATGACACCAGAACTGAATAGTACCCAGCTACCATTGCTGAGCATTTTGACCAAAGGTCCCATAGAGGATTCCGGATCAGAAGGGAACTGCAGAAGATTGTTTCAGATTCGCACGGACTGGCGACTGTCTAGAGCCTGGAGAGTGAGATGGACCCGAGATAAGCTACAAACCTTAAGCCAAAAATATCCCCTGATGTCATCTTAGAACCAAACCGCGGTTTATTTTAAGCATTAAAAAATACCTACCTGAGCCTTGTGCTCTGTTAGGAATTGCCTAGTGTGTGGGATGGAGCAGACAACAGCTACTGGAATGGGCAGTGCCTTTCTGTGCAGGAGAAGCCACTCAGAAAGGAGTGGAGAAGGGGGGTTGCCTGACAGAAAGAATGTAACCAGTTTCTCATTCAAAACTTGCACTGCTATGTCCCCCCCTCCCCAAGTGACCGATTTAAAAGCGCGGCTCTGACACCTTTGATTCTGTTTCTTCCCTGGGGCTGCAGGGTACTCACCCGATTGTGGTTGTGCAGCCAGACGCCTGGTCCGAGGACAGTGGCTTTCAGGGTAAGGCCCTGCGTGTCTATCATACTGGCTCCGGTTGGCTTGATGTCTTTCACCACAGTTGACCTAGTGCTTGCTTACCACAGTTCTGGCGCGTTCTGGGTGTTCAGTAAGGGTTTGTGGAAGGAAGGAGCCTGAAATGTCTTTTCTAAGCTTTTTCTTTGGCCTTAAAAAACAACGCATGAGCTCCTTCCATGGTGCAAGAGAGGGGGAGCATGATTGATTCTAAGGGAAAATAAACATCACAGTGAAACCATCCCAGGGACACCCCCCCCCAGATGCATCACCATCCAGTCTTTTGAGGCCCATGTGCGTGCATCGATCTGTGCGGTACACACACATGGATTTTACACGCATGGGCTTGTGCTCCTCGTACTGCTGCGCTTTCTCACGTAAGATACTGCAGACATTTACCCTCATCATGAACTTGCAATGCCTCTGCTCTCTCTGGTGGTTTCCCGGCTCTCAGATTGAAGCTCGGGTTAATAGAGGGTCGGAGGCTGGGAGGCTTGCCCCAGCTGCCACTCCCCTGGCTTCAAAGTCAGCCCCCGTGTCCTGCAGCATTGCTTACTGCAGCATTGCTTAGAGCGGATGACCCCTGAGGGCTCAGACAGTTGAGGCCCTGCAGCCGGTTGATGGGTCAAACCTGGGGGATGGGAATTGCCACTAATCCCTCCTTGTGTCCTCTGTTCCCAGCAATTTGGCAGCTGTGTGATGCATCTGTAGTGACCCGAGAGTGGGTGTTGGACAGCATAGCCCTCTACCAACGCCAGGAGCTGGACACCTACCTGATCCTCCAGGTCCCCCAAGATCACTACTGATTCCAGGCTGCACTCTGTATCAGGCTGTCCCCACAGGACCCCAAGACAGGACTGAAGGCGGGAAGGGCCTTCCCAGGCCCTGGGAGCTCCTCTGTCTCTTTAGTGCTACCCCAGTGGCAGTTGCTGAATGTTGTACGTACCTCAGAGAACGTCTGAGTGTGTCAGGGTCCCTGAAAGATTTTCTGCTTCAAGTCTCCCTTTGAAATCTGCCTTGAGCACAACATTGTGGTAATGTTTCACCTGAGAAAAACCTTTAAACCCCACCAGTTGAGCAAGCCGGGAATTCATTATTTATCAGCTCTCTGCCTGCTGACTGAGGGAGGGCCTGGAGCATCTCGCTGGTCTGCTAGCTTGTTTTCCTAAAGCCCCGCTCGGTGTTGCGGCCAGCAGTCAGAGCGCCAGCGGAAGGAAAGTCCCTGGGGACCTGTGGTGGGACTTCAGTCAGAAGAGTCCTCGCGCGCGGGACACGGGATGCAGAGGCTGGGAGTGGTTCTCAGTGGGGATGATCGTACCAGGGGGTCCTGCTGGCCTCCACCCTCTCCAAAAGTCTGGCCTGTGGTTGCTGGTGTTTGAAGGAATCCCGTAGCCATTGTGCGCTCTGCAACAGGAGCCTCCTTTCAAGAACCTGTGTCTTCTGATTCCCCATTGGTGATACATAAACTGTTGTTACAGCTCTGATATACAAGCATTCTTTTTAAAAATAGAAGATTTCTACGATGAATATTTCATGCCTGTGAACTGACGGATCCCACCAGGAAACGAACTGTTGCTTTCCTTGAGGTAATTTTCCCCCTTGACTCCCTATTGCTGAACCACAGAGCTTCATAAATAATTTTGCTGGCCGAAGGAAGAGAAAGCGTTTTTCATAAACTCCTTATCGGGGACTGTTTATGGCTGCTGGGAGAAATAGGTCTGCCCTGGCCCCGGTGTGAGGGCCGTGTTTTGTCAATGTTCTGTTCACCTACAAATAAACTCGGCAGCAAGCGCGGCCACGGAGCAACGCTGTGTCTGCGGCTGCCTCCTGCGGATCTTCCGAGCCTTTGCACTGCGCTTTGGCCTCCTCATCTGTAGAATGGGAATAACAGCACCGACCTCCCAGGGGTGCTGAGGCCGCCTGCCTACCTGTGCCACTAAGTTTCTATTGTTTCCATAATAAATGGTCACACATTCAGTGCCTTGACTCAGCGCTCATTTGTCATCTCACAGCCCTAGAGGCCGGGGGTCAGCGGGCTCCTTGTTCTGCACTTTCTAGAAGTTCTGCAGATGAACTTGCTTCCTTGCTCACTCAGCTCACGGGCCCCAGTCATGCCCTTGCAGGTGTCAGACCGAGACTCCCCGTGTCCTCGCTAGCTGTCTGTCAGGGTGACTCAGCTTCGAGAGGCCACCCTCCCTCCACTTTCAAAGCCAGCAAGGTGAGTCGACTGGTCTCTCCAGTGTTGAGTCCCTGCTACATCTGACTCCCACCGGAGAAATGTCTTCACTCCTCAGGGTTGCCATGATCCGATTGGGCCCACTGAGTAGTCCCAGGGAATCTCTCTGTCTCGAGGACCGTAATCCTAACTGTGAGTGCAGCTGCAGAGGCTCTTCCCAACAGGACCGGGATTAGTAGTTGAGTGACCCTGGGACAGGATTCCAGAGAGATGTGGGGAATTCGGCCTCCCCCTCCTAGTTAACATGCTTACTCCACAGGGCGTGTTCTGTGTCATGTCCTGGTCCTCACACCGCCCTGAGATTAGAGTCCTCTTTGAGGCAGAAAGAAAATGAAGTTGCCCCACAATTGAGTACTGCTGTACTTGGGGGGCAGAGCTTTAGCGAGGAGAGAAGATGGAGCTGACCGCCGCCATCTGTTAACACTGCGCCACATGGCATCTGCATCCCAGCCCTACGGAGGGGTTATTGACCCCCTTAGTTGAATAGCGGGAACTGGGTATCAAATTCCTGATTCATGCGGTTTTGCTCAGTGTCTGCATGGTTGTCCACACCGTGATCGGCACCTTTCCGTCACCAGTCACCCTCCCAGCAGCACTGTGACTGACCCCAGGACCCAGGCTCCAATTCAAGCCTCTTGGGAATTGAGGCGGAAGACTTGGTTGTGAAGGGACCCAGTCCTTCACTTGGCCTTTGTGGGACAAGGTGGAAGACAATAGAGCAGGGGTGCCAAACTGGTGTCAGGGCCAGGCACTCAGAGGGAGTCTGGCCCCTGCATTTCTGCTTCCATCCCGCCTCCTAGCATCTAACGCTGTCCTCCCGCTGTCCAAGCTTCCAGCATGGACTTTGTATTAGAGCTTACATTCTGAGCGCTCATGAACTGAAGGCTGTGCTTAGAGTGAAAGCCCAAACTCCTGTTTGAGTCTCCACATAGATTAAGCTTCGGTTGCATCTTTCTGACCGTTTACCAGCAAAGTGAGCCAGCTTGGCCCTCAGGCAGCGTGTGCTTGAAAGTGGATTACTACCATTCCCTGGGCCGAGCAAAGAGGGGCAGTCTTCCTAGGGGCTTCCCTGGGTGTGTGCTTGGTCGGGCTTGGGGTGCTAGGGTCTCAGAGTCTTCCTGGGTCATGCCTGACTGCCTGGGTTGGAGGGCCCGGGACCAATGTCAGCTCTTCTGTCTAGCATAATGTTCATGTCCCCATCCTGGTCCCATTCCGCTTCTGTAGTTAACTATTGATCTGTGGCCAGTAATGCTTCTGGGACAGTTCCCTTTGTTCTCCCACGTCCCGTGTAAACCACTGATTTTCTCTAAGCCCTTGGACACCATGGGACCGTGTCTCCATCCTCCAAATATCGTATCTTGTCTTTTTAAGATTACATGAATGTTCTCCATAAATTGTTTTTGATCTCTGGCGTCTCTCTTGCCCCTGATGCCTCTCACCTACAACATGTCCTCTCTAGAGGCCATCCCAGCTCCCTGGTAGTCTCAGGGTGGTCTCGGTAGCACAGGAAGAAAGGAAGTGGCCAAAGTGAAGCTGAGTCCTAGGTTCAGACCAGGCCGCAACTTGCTGTCCCCACCACTGATGGCTTCGTAGTAACGTCCAGGGTGTGTAACTGGCCTTTCCAGCCATCTTGGGTGAAAGCTGGGGTGACTAACACACCTTTCAAAAGTCTTACGTCATTGTCCTTCAAGATCTCCCGGCAAATGCGTACCCCTCTATGAGACCTTTCTCCCAAGTCAACTTCTGACCCTCGCCGTCCTCACAGCCTGGCCTGGTCCCCACAGCCCTATCTGGTGTTGGAGTTCATCTGCTCGTTCCCCTGACCTCTGGTGTGAGGCTGTCCCCCCAGCCCACACGCTCTACTCCTCTCTGGACGCAGTAGCACGTGGGAGCCAGTTCCTCCCGCTGACTTTATCTCCTGTCACAAAATGAACTTCTGCAAAGAAGGCCGAGGGAGAATGATCATCCTGCAGGCACAGGGAGGGGACCCACAGAGCCAGATTATCACGCCCGCCTGAAGAGACGCAACCAGAATCAGCAAGGGGCTCAAAAACCTGCCAGGGAGAGAAAAGAATCAGTGTTGGGGTGGCCGGAGCGGAAGGAGCCAGGATGTATCCTGTGAGGGCTGCAAGGAGCAGATAAGGGCCGCCCGCCCCAGAGGCAGGCGGTGCAGGGAGAGGGGGACTGCAGAGGGGGCCCCCCAAGTGGGAGCGGGCCTACTACACACACGGGGACTGCTGGAGCTCACGCCCGGGCTGTGAGATGGCCGAGCCAGAGGCCCCGCTTCGGCAAGGCTCAGGCCCCCCCGCAGCCTGTAAATCTGCCCACAATCAAGGAGAAAATTAAAGACATGAATCTGAGCACATCGAAAATGAAGGCAAACGCGCGAGCCAGCTCCTGTGGAGAGCCGGGAGTGGGGAGCTGCAGAAGGAGCTGGTCCCGGGAGCCAGCGTGCCTGCTCAGAACAAGCGAAGCAGGGGGTTTGCAGGGGCTAGAAGGAATGGAGAACTGGAGAGGCTCGCTTCCCCCACATTTTGGCAGCTGGGAGCGAGAACTCTGGAGGCCCAGTCTCAGGGACCCGGATGGTAAAGCAGCTCAAGCCAGCTGAATGCCGTGGGCCGCAGCACAGCACACGGCCCTGCCCCAGGCAACAGCCTGGCCTGGGAACGCACTCAGGCCTGCTAAAGCGGGGGTGAGGCCCTGCAAGCTGTGACCCTGCCCCGGGGACCACCAGCTTGGTATAAGGGACTAATTGGTATAAATTGCCACCCACCATCGATTCTTTTGTCTTCAAGAGAGCGGAATCTTGGGTCTGTTCAGGAAAAATCAGGCTTCTGGGCTGCTAAGTGTTTCTTATCTATAAGCTTGCAGCAGCTGGCTTCTGTGAACTCTAAAAAGGCCCTTTAAGCAAATACAAAGCAGAGGACAAAGATTAAACTATATTAGCAACCTAGGAGCAGAAGGACCGGGCTGCTTTAAAAATAAAATAAATAAAAAACAACCAGCTAGCGGTTTGGGAGGCTTTATTAATATTTAAATGGCAGTTGAGCCACAGCTGCAGCCTTTGACTCCAGCATAGAGCTATGCAAATGTGGTTTTCAAAAGAAAGGCAATTTCAGAGCGCCCTCAAGGTAACAAGAACAAATAAAACAAATGATTTTGTAATTTATCTTTATTGACTGATGGCCAACCGACAGCCTATTCCCAGTGAGCCAACCTCAGACCTCTCTGAGGGAGGACCGAGGGGAAAGCCAGTCTGAAAGGAGAAGGCCTGCAGGCTGTAGACTGGTGATAGCAAAGACCCAAGGAGGGACAGCAGCAGCAGATGGGAGGGGACGGTGACGAAAGCCCAGGCCTGGGTCCGCTGGCCCATCTGATCTGGCCAGCTCTCGGGGGCAACAACAATGGGCACCAATACTGACGGTCACGTGCCACACTCCTCCTCTGCCCCGCAATATGCCCCACGTGGACAAACGGAATGAAGCTTTCAGTTGTCAAGCAACTTGCCCAAGGTCACACAGCAGACAGAAGTGGCAAAGCAGAAGCAACGGGGAATCCAACATAGACCTGTGTGAGGGCTAAGTCAAGTCCAGGCTCTTTCCAGTCCTGGAGGCAGTGAATAACAATCAGGTGGATGATGGAGGAGGAGGAGGGGTCACTACTTACCTATATGGGTGTGTGTGTGTGTGTGTGTGTGTGTGTGTGGAGGAGGAGGGGTCCCTACTTACCTATATGGTGTGTGTGTGTGTGTGTGTGTGTGTGTGTGTGTGTACAAAACAAAAGCAAACCACTGCCATTGAACTGATTCTCAGAGCAGCCCCGTCACAGCAGAACTGCTTCAGAAAGCCCCAGTGCGCTCCCGCAGAAAAGCTGGTGGGTTCAAATGGCTGACCTCGCAGTTTGCAACCTAATGCTTAAGCAATTCCAGGGCTCCTCTGGGTGTGGAAGACCAAAAACCAACTCAGAGGCTGACTTGGGGACTCCACAGAGCAGGCTAGAACTGCCCCATGTGGGTTTCTGAGACTAACTCTTTACAGGAATAGAGAGTCTCATTTTTCTCCCGCAGAGCAGCTGGTGGTTTCGAACTGTTGATCTTGTCAGCAGCCCAGTGTGTGACCCCCTTCTTCATCCGGACCTCTTCTGGGTACGGAAGACAGGGATAACCGATTTCACTTCTAGTCTTGACCTTGCTGACTCTTCAATGGTGGAGGCAAGAAAGTCCCGCAGAAGTTCTTTAAGGGACGGCAGACTTTACTTTTATGGGGGAACAGCTTGGGGGGAGGATCATAAGCTGCTAGGTTTGGGACTTGGGTAGGGTTTTTCGTTTCTGTTTTTCTTTGGTTTTAATTTTCAATCGTTTTATGGGGAGCTCTTACAGCTATCATAACATTCCATGGTCCGATCACATCAGGCAGGCAGTATTGTACAATTGCTACCACAATCAGTTTCAAAATGTGTTCTCTCTTCTTGAACTCCTTGATAACAGCTCCCCGTATCCCCTCCTCCTGTCCCCTCCCTCCCAGGGACCCTTAGATATATATATATATATATATATACACACACATACACATGTATGTATATATGTCATATCTTACACAAGCCAATCTATCCATTCACATATAGTTCTGTTGTTCAATTCCATCAAGTGGGGTTCTACAAACATCAGTGCTATCAGCTCCCTATCCCCCCTTGGGCAACGTTTGATGACAAGGAAATCAAGAGCCTCCGAAAGGCCCAGGTA